TCCGGCGCTAGACGGTAGTCCGGTACGATTACTAGTGCTTCCAACCCTAGGGCAAGCCGAACGCAGCAATTGTGCGGATTCGCCCAGGATCGGGAACCGACGCAGAAACCGCCGCCGTGGAAGAAGAACAGGACTGGAAGTTTAGTGTTGGAATTTAATGATACTGCTGGTTTTATGAGACGGAGATGGAGACCGTGAACGGCGTCGTAGAGAACGTCGCGGAAGACGACGGAGCTGTCGTCGGTGATTGGAAACGGGAAGCGGATTTCGTCGGAGCGGAAGACGGTGCCGTCGCTGTAGAGTTGGAGCACGCCCATGCAATCTTCAACAATGTAAGGAAGGGAACCCATATGTGTGTATATATATATATATATATATATATCTATATTTCTTTTTTCTTTTTTTTTTTAATTATGGTGGAAATGGAGGGAAGGGGCAAGAGGCTTTTATATAGAGACGAAGGGAGGGTAGAATGGTAATTTCACAGGGGAGTAGTGGTGGATGAGTAAATTGACATTTTAAAAAAAGTAAAAATAAAAATGTTTAAATTGGCTAATAAATTAAAAAAAAATTAATTAGTCAAAATATTATCTTCAATGTTGTTTAATTTACAGAGGTCGAGCTATCTCGACCTTAATTAAAAATGGTAATGACAGCTTTATTACTTAAATTAGCGTAACAATAAACATAACTAATGAAAAGGGGTAATTAGCCGACTTAGATTATTTAAGGTTTAAATAATTGGGTGTTTATTGTTTCATGCCACTGTAATTATTTATAATTTAAAAATATGGGTCGGTGAAAAGAGTTTTCAATTAAAGTTGATTTAGTGGGAAAATATTAGTTTAATTAGTATAATATTAATATGAACTTTCAAATATGGATTATTCAACGTATAATGATGGATGTTTTTTTAGTCTAAGTTGTAACTATGAGCTGATAAATTGATATAACGTTAATGCAACCTTCTCAATGTTACCAGATATAACATTTTTAATATATCTTAAATTATTTCTAAAATTGAAAAACTATTCCTATAAATCAACAGAGTTATTTTGGCAAGAACAAAATTATTGAATCATCACTCAACTTAGAATTGCATACACATTTAATTTTAAGGTTATTATTGAATCATCACTCAACTTAGAATTGCATACACATTTAATTTTAAGGTTATTATTGAATCATCACTCAACTTAGAATTGCATACACATTTAATTTTAAGGTTATTATGATCGAGTCACATTATTATTGGTATCAATAATAACTATCAATTTTTATACGTATTTCTTAGCTATCACAATCATTTTTGTTTGAATATGGTGTCGTTTCATTCATGTAACTCTTTTCTACTCTAGCATCACACAAAAACATATTAATTTAGAAATTAAGCTTATGATTGACCGTGTATAATATGGACCGAAAAGTATGGTCATTAATGTGGCCATATGGAAGGTGCAAAGTATAAAAGAATAGTGTGAGGTAAGTGGCATGAAAATTTAAAACTTCAAGGGTTGAATAAAAAGCAAAATAAAGAAAATAAAGAAACAAAAAGGGTCACGTGATGAGGCAGTTGACCTCTAGGCTACAGCCTCCAAGATGGTGGCGTTGTGCAATTTAGCATTCCAATTATTGAGACCTGAACCCTAATAATTTAAATGGTTGCCTTTTAAGGTTACCCTTTAAAACAATGCATTTTTTGTTCAAATTTCTAAGTTGTAAATAGTGTATATTCAATTGTCAATTTTGCATATTAATTGAACGTAAGGACACGTGTACATACTCATAATACATTACGGAAATACCCTTTTACATTTTAATTATTAATTAAAAATAGTAACTAAAGAATATACTGCAATTTTAAAATATCTTTTTTTCATTTTCATGTACTTACTCAAAATTTTAATTAATACCTATATTGAAATAAAATAAAAGATAAAAAAAAGATAAAAAGTTAACTCAATTACAAATCATCCTCTTTAATGTTATCGCTTCATCCAACTTTGTTCCAATCTGAAAAAAAATGTCACAATTCATGTAAATGGTCAATAAACCTTTGAAATCAGGAATTTAGGCTGCTACAAATATGACTTTTCACCATGGCCAAAACAATACTCGAAAGTGTCATTATTGTTACACGAAAAGAAATTTTAATAAAACCATAAACAAATACGGGTGTAATGTTTTCTATCAGCCTGAAGAAAGTCCAAAAATATATATATATATATATATATATATATATTATAGAGGAAGATGGAAGGAGATGAAAGAAGAACAAAATAATTTTGAGAATTTTTCTCTACTTCTGGTTAAAAAATTAAAAAAAGAAACAAATAAAAACAGTAATGAAACACATTCATGATCCATTCTAACAAAAACAAAGAACAAGAAATCAGAGGACCATGCCTGAAAAGTTGGAACAGTAATACCTGATGGATTGGAGATGTGTTGTTTTGATGTAGAACGAGGGACCAATCTCCACCTCTGTTTCTGACCCTACGGATTGAACAAAGACTTCCATTGACATTTTGTTTCCCAATTCTGCACTGAAACATAGTGCGAAGATGAAAGCCAATAAATCAATTAGTGCAAAATCTAATTCTTTTTTTTTTTTTTTTTTTTTTCTAGTCTCTGTTCATGTATTGACCTTCATCATCCACATTTTGCTGCCAAGGATCCATTCTGTCACTATCCACTACTTTACCATCCAAAAGGTAGGTATGTTCCACTCAAACTTTATAGCTAAACTGTTCAACTTCATAACTAAACTGTTCTTCCTTGGGTACTATTGTATGTGTCCATCTTTCCTATGAACAGGTCAAAGTTGAATGACATCATGATTCCTAACACAGGACAAGCAACCACTTTGAAGGGATGTCATCTTAGCCCAATCATGTCAAATTTAAGATTCGTCGACTGACTTGACCGTGACGATACCCTGTTGCTTCTTATTAGCTACCTCGACTCAAGCCACACATTATAGCACTAGCACCAATATATCATGGACAATCACCATCTTAAACAATAAATTTGTTTAGCTCTTCTTAGCTTACGACTCTCTTTAATCGAATTACTCCTTCAAAAGAGTTTCATGTCCATCACAACATTTGCTCTCTCAAAGGAAGCTTTCCCTATCCTCTAGGTTGGACTTCTTCTCAAGACAGACTGTCACTACTTTTTTGCCACTAACATCTAACTTCTGTGTAGTATTATGTAAAAACATTTCAAACGGTCGCTTCATACAGTAAATCGCTAGGCAACTTATATACATGTGTGTGTGTGCGCCCCATATATGTCTGCCTTTTTTTTTCTTTTTCTTTGGATGATTTCGTGATGGAATCAATGACCCCTAAGATTCATAGCATAGCCTGATGCCCACTCTTCCAACATCTGGTTCCACTCAACTCTATGGACCCATGTCGACGTGGATTCACTATTCCCACAAATGCTAGAAGCTAAGACCAGAGGATGGCCACTATGGTGCAAAAAAACCATGAGCTCTAAAGAAAGATAATCGACAATATAACACTAGTGAAGAGAACCGGGAGTTAATGTACAAATGATGTAAAACCATATATTGCCTTCAAATGCGTAGTAATTATAATAACTATAATTTACAGGAGGAAGGAGGCTTCTAGCAACAAGATCAAATTTCCAGTCAATATCAAAATCATGAACTTGATGGGGGGGAAAAAACAGCAAAACAAAACCTTTAAACAGTATTAGAAATTCCAACGTTCCAAAAGCTGTTTAGCTTCAGCCATGTCTTTTTGTGCCTTCTTTCTTCGATAAAATATTGGACAGTCTCGACTGTAAACCAAAATACAGCATTTGTGAAACTATGAATCAAAGGCACAAGAACAACATTTGAATCTAGAATAGAAAATCTGCACGCATGCTAATAATACTGGGAAAAATTAATGATCATAAGAATTACGTCAAGAAGGTAATACAACAATACCTCGTACAGAGAACATCTTGGTGAAGGGACCCTTGGCATTCTTGGCACTGCGTCCAAAGTCTTCCAAAAACCATCTCCAAATCAGACACTGCAACGGTTATCGACCAAAATTTTTATATAGGTGAGAATTCAATTAGCTAGATATTGGAACAAATTCTTACAAAGAAGATTACCATTTTCTACCGCTTTGCAGTACAGTTCAGCTTCTCTTCCTTTGCAGTGTGCGCAGAGAGTATGGTCTGCCTTGCTGGAGTAGTCAAGTATAGTATAGAATTTATTCAATTCATATTGCTCTGCGGACTTTCAGGTATATCTTTTCAAAAATATTCAAAAGATAATAATTGTGTTCCTTGTTAAAATGACACAACAAACTAGCGCTAGTCTTAAACAATTTTTGCTTTTCCAAAACTGTAACGCAAAATGGAAACAAAAATCAGTTCCTCTCAATTTCACTATAGCAAGGTTATTGAACTTCCTACATCGAACATTAGAAGAAAATATTGCCCTCAAACTAGATAAAACCAAAATGGATAATAAAACTGTCAAAATTACCTTAGCAGAGCCTTACAGCCAATGCAGGTAAGCTGTTTCTTGGCAAATTTCATTATGCCACTGTTTGAAGGAGTAGAAATAAAAATTGATCTCGTGTGGCTTCCATGTAGAAGTTCCTTGCTAGCATTTTTCAAGATGGGCTCAAAAATTCGTAGAAGAGGCTGCAACTTAGACATAATCCTTCAACGGCTACGTAAATGAAGTAAAAAACAGAACAAAAAAGAAAAAAGAGATCAAACCTTGCTCATCTGATTCTCGAGATAGTACTGAGGGTCTATTGGTATGCTATTCTCTAGAACGTAAATGGGATCCTCTGATTTCTCATATGCCTGATTGTCATCCAATATTAATCTTCATACACATTGAGAATTGGAAGGGTTGAGATATCAAATGGATTACCTTGGCACCTTTTGCAGCTTTAATGATCACGTAAGGTACTCGATCACCAACATTTGGAGCAGTGGCAGCATCTCGCTATTAAGGATAGAAATAAGTTAGATAATCTTGTTTTAAAACCAGACACAGCAACGACCTGGATTAGGCTACGAGAATCAAAAACCATGTTTCTTACTGCAAGCATTCATGCAATGGAGTCATGAAATAAGAATATGCATCACAAAATGCAAGATATGATATGTAGAAAGAAGAAAATTTTCTTTCGTTTTTCAAATACTTCTTGTGCGACTTAATAGTTAGTATATTTCCAGAATTCTTTTAGGAAAGGGGTCAGAAAACACATGGATGTGTGAAAATACTGCGCTGATGAGCACTGATTTTGAATCTATTAGAATAAGCATGCTATTTATCAATTAGGATACCAAAATAAAATAGGGATAGGGTTAGCAGCCTCATTTCAGATTATGAAAAGCATCTCCAATGGTTTCTATAAGAATCCAAGCTCTATTTTTCTTTTCCTTCTTCGGAGGGAATTTCTTCAATCATTGGCGATGAGCTCAACTCTTCAAAAGCTTCAAAGGAATTATTAGTTATTATTAAGGATTTCATTTTCAATATTTATTTGTGGTGTTTAGCAGCTTTGAAGGTGATTCGTGCAGTCTCTCTTGTTGGAATCTTCATGGCTCTCTCCAATTGTTTGTCCCTCAGATAATGGCTTTGGTGGGATAGGGCATTAGCTTTAGTGACTATTTGGTCACGTTTTTCTTTCGGGATTTTTTTTTGTGGTTGCTTCATCTGAACTTTTATGTTTCATTAGTATGTTTCTTGTTAATATATAGAATAAAAAAAAATAGCTTACTCTAGTCCCATAATTAAAATTATTACTTGGGCGTTCCCATAATTAAAATTCAGCAAATCTAATAATAGATGAATTTGTCTTCGAGACCAAGTCCTTGCAAGCAAACATAAAACCCATGTGCAGGGGGGAAGCATTATCATTAGTGGGGTACTTGTAGAGTGTGGAATTGTTAGAATTTCTAAGCAACCACAGGTTAACTAAAAATAGGGATTGCAGTGATGAGAAAGTTGGGAAAATTAGTGGTCATCTAGTCATTGAAGCTTGAGCTCAGTCAAGATGGATGCATCCAAGTTATTCAATTACTTAATACCATATTCATGGTACAAAATTTTCCAATTCCTACACTTTAGGATTGGCAGTGGCAAGAGGTATAAATTCTTAATAATTCTAGGGTGTCACTTAAGATAAGTTTATGCATATGTATGCGCATGACACAAATGAGATGACATAAATGAGAGGGCTGCAGTGGTATGAACCAAGACATTTCAATCATACAATATATAAACTTCAAGAAAGATGTGAGAATCAAGTTGCAATGCCACATTAAAGAAGAATCAAGTTTCTTGGATGGTTACAAATTTTGGGTGGATGGCAATCTAGAGTTATGGTGTTTCATTAATAAATTTGAGTTTTAAGATTTTGTATTTACTTTAAGGTTACATTTACAAAGTGGCTAATTATGGTTATAAAGTACAAAAGTTATAACTCTTGAAATGCCTCGTGAAAGGTCAAGGGTTTTTTTTTAGGCTATACAAAGTCATGTATGTTGTCTTTGTAAGCTAGACTTGAAAAATGCAGTGAAAAAGCATTTGTGCCTTCCTTTAGCTAAATGCTAAATTTTTTTTCAATTTTATATAATTTAGGTTGCATGCGTAGAATCATTCAAGCTTGACATGCCTATCTTGCTTGTGGAGTGATTCGAATCTCAAACAAGTTTTCTTATCTTGAGATATTTGATCAATAAGGTAATCTAGGTTTTACTTTTCCTTGGGGTAATTCCTTATCATTATGGAGGAATTGGATATTCAGATCTAAAAGTCTTACTAAGGTTGTTAGATCGAATTCACAAGAGTTACAATTATTTGGGATGAAACCATTTTAATTTGGGAGTTTCAGCATTTATGATCTAGGGGTTTGCATATCTATGAGGGTTCTTAGGTCCGCTGGACTACTATTAGTCTTAAGCCAGACGTGCCACAGTAAGAAAACCTAGGATTGCATCTATTGAACACTACATGGTCGAACAAATCATGAATAGTTTTCCTCAATACACCCATGCAAAGATAATAGTGGAACCGATGTTCATTATGTCAACAAAATAGACTTGTAGGAATTTGACACCAAATAAAGCATCAAACAACAAGGAAAAAACTATAATGAAACACCACAACCTTGCGCATGCGCTCAGCAAGTTCAACATGAGCTGCCTTCACTTCATAATCATCTCCAGTTTTTGTCAGTCCCTGTGGATCAAATAATTTAATGCACTATGAAGCCTTCAAGTTAATGTCCTAAAAGCAAACTTATGACAAGGGTTCCTTGACACTTAATGAAAGTGAAATAAAAATATTTGACATATATCTCCAACCTTAGTGATAACCAAGAGAGATAAATCCACACGGTTCATAAGTAGATCTGAAATCGTGTTCTTCACATATTGAACTGCCCCAGGGACATCTCTATCAATAAGAATTCTGTGCAAGCACTCATTTACAAGGTTTTTCACCAATAAGCAATTATCCCTTCGAACTGTCTCAATGCCTGCGGTTGTCAAATAGAATATTTGAAATGGAGGGAAATAATTTAAACGTGGGCAAAGACAAATTCTTTTAGCTTCTCCATCAATACCTTTGGTATCCATCTTGTCAAACTTGTTTGGATTAGTCCAAAATAAACCAGCGTATCTCTTCTTACTAATCAACAGATATGGGTAATAAACTTTCTCAAACTCTAACTTGATGGGCTACAAACCATGAACGAACACACAATTAAAAAGAAATAGAATGAAGATGAAAACATCAGCTAAGACTGCACAGGGAGATTTATAAGAAAAGGTTACAAATCTGATAATAAACTATTTACTTTGGATTTCAAAGAAAAACTATACAGTTAATTTACTCATATACTATACTCATAATAAAAATACAGAAGCAAATGGAAAACTTCTTGCAAAGCACTTGGCAGTATACCAATAAAAACGAGAAAAAAAACACAAAAAGGCATAACAACAGCGCAAGCAACTCTTACTTTTGTGAAAGTACCACTGATATAATCAGCTGCTTCCCTTCCCAAGATCATCGCTGCTTCTACACTGGGCACACCAAATTGTACCATTACTGAATCTGTATCACCATAGATTACCTAAAACCATAAAACGCTGACTTCTGTAAGGTCATCAATGAGATATAGATTGATGCAACACAAGAATCTAATTATTATTCTTTTAGAAGTTGGAACATAAAATCAATGATTTAACAATTCAAGTCTGTCTCAACCATTTAGACATATCTGACACGTTTTTTAGACCAGTGATTCAACTAGTAAGGGAAATCGTTGTTAATTGAAAATATATAGACAATTCAACAGGCATCGTATTCCAACGCTACAGAAAGTATCAAATACTTAAAAGAAGTTGTCTACGGAAAGAATACAATTTCCACAAGTACAGAGCTTAAACAGGACAAAGAGGAGCTAAACGTAGTCCTGATTCTTTGGGATTGACTTGAACTGTCTGGTCTATTATAGTATTCAAATTCATCGTCAAATAGTTTGTACTGAGAATCCTGTAATCTTCTAAATCAAAATGGAAATTTTACCCCTTCTCTTCTTTCAGTTTGTATTATTATATGTGCCTCTTCGTTCATTGATGTGCAACTAGAACTATAATTAGGTAGATTCCCTCAAATACAGCCCATTTAAAGACACAATGCAAATGATCGTTGAATTAATAAAAGGCAGAACCGAGTTCCTCTGTAAAACTGAGCATAAATAAACTTGGAAAATGGAGCTAAGTCAATTATATTTTATTTCCAAAAATACCATCAACAAAATTTTAACTTACCTCAGCATTGTGCTCGTAGCCCCCAAGAGTTGTAAATTTATCTTCCACAAGTTTCTTTGTGTGCTCAATCATTTGTCGGCCTTTAAAGTAGCCAATTCATTAATATGAATAGCTTGAGCGTAAAGAATTTAATTAAGGATAATAAGAATTAATAGTATTTTTTAGTATACCATAGCTTGTAACACTTGATGATATCTCTAGACACGGTAACTGACCAACAGTAGCTCCTGTAAACCCATACACAGAATTTGCACTTATCTGAAAAGATAGAAGGAAACATGTTAAGTCCAAAAAACTAACAGAATGGGGTACATAAATAAAAATGTAATGTACCTTCAGAGCTAGCTGTCGACCATCCAACACAGCCTTCTCAAAAGGATCCTTTGCCTCCTACACAAAGGCAACATGGAAGTAAATATTATTGACAAAACAAAGTAAATTCGACTGACAAAACATGAAATTGGAAAAGTACACTGATTGTGTAACGCAACAAGGCAACTGAAAGAGCAATGCAATTACCTTCAAATCTGCTTTTGCTCTTTTCCGAGCAGTCAATAATTCCTCTAATATTTCAGGAAGTATCCCCTGAATTATATCAAAGTTATTTGGTACATTAGTTTGAAAAACAATATTTACTGCAGAAGTTGTAAGTTTTAAACAGGTGGTTAACTTTGTTGAGGAGGCATAAACTAAAGAACCAGATATCTTTCATAAGAATGGAAATTATTAACCCACTGACCTTCTGTAGATTTGGCTTGACAAATATCTCACCAGATGGGGTTTTATTGAAATGTTCAGGGGGCAGATTTAGCTTGCGAACGTCTTCTGGAGTCACCTTCAAAAGAATGTTTAAAGTTGAAGGCTTCCCCCAAATTTATTAAGAAGAATTTCCCAGCATGAAATGAACAGCACATTCTATAAGCCAAAAAATATGTTAGGGGCGTCACCAGAGTGCAATAACATAAATTATATGCCATCATGATGGATGGATACAGAGATGCAAAATCCAGCGTAGCAATGGGCTTCTCATAGAACCCAGCCCTTGCTTCCAAAACCTGCATGTTACAAACCGAGATTATTCAGATATATTACCTATTTCAGCTGATACATTCATAGCAACATAGAATTGAAGTAAACTAATCGACCAAATTAAGTTTGCTCAAGTCTGAGGATTTTCACATGCAAGAAAAGTCAGTCAGAATGGAGCAAATATGTTAACCATTTCAATTCTGAGGCATGTTTTTGAGACTCAGATTAGGACCGACAAAGAATACAAAGATTCTGAGCTTAGACATCATCCTACATTAAAGTAACTAGACTAAACATTTGTGGCATGATGCACCTATGGAACCGCTATCATTTACTACTTAAAAACATCAATAAGATTAAAATAAATTGTCAAGTTAAGGAAAAAGATACAGGATGTCGAAGAACATACAGTAGCACCCTCATAGGTTCCTTGATCAGATCCTGCCTGTTTAGCATTCGGAATAACGAGGTTCTTTTGTTTTGCCTTCCTAAGGAGTTGAGAGAGCACCTGGAAACAAATTCTTAAAGTTGATAATAATTCTGCTAGGTCAAAAGGAGTGCCTAAAAATTAAAAGACAGAAGGATTACCTTGATGCTTTGCCCTCTTGAAAGAAGAAACGAAATAGGAACACCAGTTACTCGAGCCATCTCCACATAATTGTAAATGAACATCAGTTTATCTAAAAGCCGTTGTGGAAGATATGCATCCTGAATCCCCGCACCCCAAAAATATGAAACCAAAAGAATTTTAAGAAAGTTTGATATTACTCAAGAATATAAAGAAAAGATTGGAAACAACAACCTCAATGGAGTTCCAAAGCTAAGAAAATGCATAGTTTAAATAAAAATAATTGCACTTGGTGGCTGTAATAATATTAGATCATTTCCAAATTTCTCCACGGGATTCCAAAACCAAGCATATGAAAATCTACGGACACAACTTTTTTGCTAAAAAGAGAGGAAAAGAAAGCAGAAATAAGCAAAAGGACAGAAAAAGAAAAGGCTGACGGAAGACTGCATTTATCATCTACAAAACAATTATATATTTTCATGAAAGGCTTAGGCCTACCAAATCAAGGTTTCCACCAGATCACAACCGACCAGGATCTCTAAAACATAAATGCATGCAAGAGACTAGAAGTTTTCAATGACAGAACCATAGACTAATTCTTGGGGTTGCTCACTGAAAGAATCATTCTTCAAAAAATTTCCTCCTAACTTAATCATTCTTCAAAATTTTCCCTCCTAACATACCTTCTTTTTCTGATAAAACTCTACCTTATCATTCTAACCAGGATGTAAGTAAACAGCCTCCATGTACACTAAATAAGGTAGACTAAAAGAAACTTTCCTTCTTCGTGCTTACAAACATCACCACTATTTTGCAGGACTAATTTCAATTATAAAATGGATTGCCTCGAAAAAACAATGATAAGTAAATGTAATATTGAATGAGATGGTAATATCTGAAATGCAAATGAGTCGAGGAAGGCACCTTTAAACAATAAACAGCCAGCCGTCTACGTGTTTCTGCATTACCATTTTGAAGATCTGATATTATTGAATGGTGGACATCCTCTTTCTGCAGAAGTAAATCATAACAACCATGAATAGATGGAAGCTTGATAATTCACTGTTTCTAACAAATTAAATTGTAAAATATAATTTATAACTCCTAGGCTCTTGGTAAACTAAAGAAATAATATGAAGCCCTCTTTAAATGAAGTAGTACTCTTTATTAGTGTAAACAACAAAATACAATGTTCCAAATCCAACTAACACTCACACCAGTGACTGAATACATAAATATTAATTGCCTAGAGAAACAAATTATAATGAAGATTCACATCAGAAGGTCTAAGGGAGGACTCTTGAATATCACCTGTTCAGAAAGGAAATGTGAAGAAACAGAATTCAACGAGTACGAACTTAATTTATAATCTCGTTGCATTGCCTGCAAAATAAGAGAACAAAAACTTGAGCTAAATTAAGCTTTGATGAATTAAAAAACATCTTTATCTTTAAACTATTAAAAGGTAGAAAGTTGGAATCATTTTGTGACCAATTCCCACTCTTC